TAAAAGAATTTCTTAAAAACAAAACTTTATGCAGAAAGATGTTTGTTATTATTAGAAAAAGGAGAAAAAGAAAAGAGAATCTCCAAAACATCAAAAAGAAAAAAAGAAAAAAATGTCCTGTCTCAAGCTGGACTCGAACAGCGGTGCTCCCTATAAAAGTACTAAAATACGCCAAGTTTCATCAAAGTGTCACCGTGGCACAATCGGTTAAGGCGCTTGGCGTTCAATCCAGAGGTCGCGGGTTCGAAACCTGGTGGAAACATGAAATAACACAGGAAGACCATCTAAATGAATTTTCTTCAAAATGCAAATATACTGAAGTTACTATAGTAACCGAAAAGTAACCGGAAGTTTACAGAAAACGTAACAGGAAGTTTACAGGAAAGTGAGCGAGTGACAGCCTGTCCCCTCACAATAACTCTACGATTGCTTACGCAATCTCCGAGTTAAAAACAGTCTCAGTCAGCCTGAGATTCGCTTGTACTTAACGTAAAATTGTTTTATTTACACGCCAGCCTGAGATTCGAGTCTGCGTTACGTAAAACAGTCTCATTTACACGTCAGCCTGAGATTCGCTGATAAGTCGCGTAAGGAATTTTACCACAATAACTCTACGATTGCTTACGCAATCTCCGAGTTAAAAACAGTCTCAGTCAGCCTGAGATTCGCTTGTACTTAACGTAAAATTGTTTTATTTACACGCCAGCCTGAGATTCGAGTCTGCGTTACGTAAAACAGTCTCATTTACACGTCAGCCTGAGATTCGCTGATAAGTCGCGTAAGGAATTTTACGTAGTTTTTATTCGGCTCTCAGGCTGATATGTCGCGTAAGGAATTTTACGTAGTTTTTATTCGAATCTCAGACTGGCATGTCGCGTAAAGAGTTTTGCGTTGTTTTTAGTCGAATCTCAGGCTGGCATGTCGCGTAAAGAGTTTTACGTTGTTTTTAGTCGAATCTCAGGCTGGCATGTTGCGTAAAGAGTTTTACGTAGTTTTCATTCGAATTTCAGGCTGGCGTGTTGCGTAATGAGGTTTCATCGTTTTCATTCGAATATCAGGCTGTTATTCGATTTGGCAATCTGAGTAAAGAGTTTTACGTACATTTTAGTCGAATCTAAGGCTGGCGTGTTATGGTCAAGTGTTGAGATTGGCTTATGGTACTTTGCGAAACGAAACGAAACGAAATCTGTAGTTTGCGAAACTGTAGTTTGCGAAACTGTAGTTTGCGAAACTGTTGTTTGCGAAATCTGTAGTTTACGAAGCTGTAGTTTGCGAAATGTATTGTAAATTAAGCTTATTAAAGACTTCTATTCACTTTGATAAGCCCTCACATTTACCTTTATCCTTGCTTGCAAAAGTAGTTTTTCACAAGCTATTTGATGAAGTAAGTTGCTTTTCGCGATCGTTCGTAAACTTCTTGGCCGCCATTTTGTTGACACAGGACGCCCGCGTAGAAAGAAAACAAAACACAGGAAGTCCGGTAATGCTCTTTTGAGGCGCATTTTTTGTCGTGAACACTAGCACTGCAATATTTTAACTTGTTTTGAGTAAGTTTTTTTAAGGCCGGAGTTTTGTCGAAATTGTTGTTATATCAAATTAAACGTTTGCAAAAATAAATAAATAATAATAAAAAAAATGGTGGTCTCCGATGTCATGAGTGAAATAACTATTTATTGCGAAAAGCTTTGATTTTATCATGGAAATTAATGATTGTCCGGCCTTGGTTTATCTTCTGTATCTCAAGGTAACCAATGTATGTTGTTTCAATATTCAGTGCTGATACGATATAGTTAGGTGATGATATGTTCATGAACCGAAGTTTGATTGAACTCTCCTATTTACTCCTATACCAATAAAGTTCGATATCCAACCAGGTGGGCGAGAAAGATGGGTTGGTGTTGGGTGATAATCGTCCTTCATGGCAGCACCGGTGCTGAATTGCGAAAGACACAGCTCGGCGCGCTCTCAAGTCGAAGTGCTATATTGCAGACACATTTTAGAGCGGATTTCGTATGAGTGTGAAACGGACGGTACTGTACTGTAACCGTAATCGTACTGTAACCAAATTCTAGTGCCCCATTGGTTCACCAAAATTCTGCAGGCCAGGTCCGGTAACTGTGCCGTGCGGTAACCGTGCGGTAACGGTGTCCCACTCATTCGAAATCCGCTTTACATACACTTACACATAGGCGTGCTGCCGAGCAGGCACTTCCTTTACATAGCAACGTCGACTGAACGAATGCAGAGCACAGCARATAGAAATGGTTCGTTTTTACTGAGGGAGGAAAACTCGGAAAGACCCGGAAAAACTCTCGAGGCAAGGGAGAGAACGAAAGAAACTCAAATCACATATGGCGCCCCGATCCGTGCGKTGGCGGTTCATTGAGKCGACATGTGAACGCTTACCGGTCTTCCTGTGCTTTGTTTTCATTGTCTGCGGGTGTCCTGTGTCAACAAAATGGCGCCAACTCGAGTGATTAGCCAACTTCAACGAACAACAACTTCATCAAATGACTTATAAATACTACTTTGGCAAGCAAGAAATAAGTCTAGGATATAAAGGTAAATGTGAGGGCTTATCAAAGTGAATAGAAGTCTTTAATCAGCTTAATTTACAATAAATTTCGCAAACTACAGTTTCGCAAACTACAGATTTCGCAAACAACAGTTTCGCAAAGTACAGTTTCGCAAACTACAGATTTCGCAAACTACAGTTTCGCAAACTACAGTTTCGCAAACTACAGTTTCGCAAACTACAGATTTCGTTTCGTTTCGTTTCGCAAAGTACCATAAGCCGTTTAGATTGCGTTATACTAATGAATAGTGACAGTTCGTGTCCGGCACTATTAAATAACACATTGACACTGTACATTCAAGCTAATCCATACTGTTTGATGATTCTAAAAGCTGTCCAAACTAATATTTTAAATGGAGCATTAGGCATGAGATATATGGAGTTGCACGTAATTTGAATTGAAAGCCCGATATAGTTTGAGTCTATTAAATAGAGTTAATTGACTTTGTTTAGAGTCTATTTGTGTCCGCTTCGAATCTAAAGCTGAGAGTTTGCTGTAAGTATGGCATTTAAATCTAAAGCCGAGGCGTATTTCAGAAACTTTGAATGGATCAGGCTGATATTGGAATCTCAGGGTGGCATTTGAATCTAAGGCTGGTCCGAAAACATAGACTTTCGCATGAAATTCGCCGAATTATTATAAGTAAATTGCTTTTAGACGAAATATCTACAATAATCATTCGTCATTATTCTTTTTAAAAATGGCCTTTATTCACTTCAAATACACTTTTAAAGTAGAATTTGCGAGTACCCCCCGGAAACGAATCTCATTCTCAGGCTATGTGAATCTCAGGCTGCGAATCTCATGCTAGCTTCACTTTGGTCTTAGGATAATAATTAACTTTTTCTGATATTTCCAAAGTGCTAGCTATTACAGTGTAGATACTGTGAGTTCTTTAAGAAGCGCAGATTATCGGCGTGAAATTTGCATACTTGTCAGTCAACAACCATCTTTCACGATTTTCTCGAAAACGAAGTCGTATTTCATAAAACAAACTACACAGCATTCATTCTTATATTAAGGCCTATCTATGGTTAAAAAATGAGCAGTTTCGGTTTTTCGACCGTTGCCGCGAATTTTGTGAAAATGTCTGATTTTTGCTGACGACCTCTCTTAAAATGTTTTGTTAATAGGAAATACTAAAATTAGTGGCTTAAAATGTTTTAAAAATATAATACTAACATAACATCGCAGCTAGGATGTTGCATGATAAAAAAATAAACCATAAAACCGTAAGCAACATTAACAATTTTTTCCCCAGACCAAAAGGAAGTAAGAACTCATTTCTTACCACGGGTTTGGTTTATAAGATTCACTGTAAAAATTGTAATTTTGTATATTACGGACAGATGGATTGATCATTAAAAACCAGCGTCAGCGAACACAAGCGAGCGATATGCCAGAACACCATGACATCAATGATACAGGCCATGAAATGGATTTCGGCAATTCAAAGACAGTTGTTACCGAACATAATTACCATCAAAGACTTTTCCTCGAAGCTTGGCATTCTGAGCTTGACGAACATTCGGGGAACGACTTTAGAACTCAAATCCCCGCGTTATATAAAACCTTGTTAGATTCTTGTAAACAGCGCGTGCGCTAATCATTGTAATTTTTTGTGTAAACCGTTAGTCGCGCGTGCACACTTTGCATTTTTGCCACTGCACTGAAGAAGATCGCAGTTGCGATCGAAACGTCTGCATTAAATTTTATTTTTCAAGCTAGAGACGACTCAATTTTCTTATCTTACATCGTTATTGAATTAAAATGTAACGACTTAATAACGCCTAATAAGCCGTAATCTATACCCCCAGGTAGCCCAGGTCTTGTCGCCCGAAATCAGCGGATTTACCAGGTGACTGCAAGAGATGATGTTTTGTAGTATGTATTTATACAGGGTATTAAGTGCAGAAGCCCTAAAAATATTGCCTCAAAATGGAATCTTTCCTTAGTGGTTTCTAGGCGATGTAGCCCGAAATCAGCGGAGTTGCTAGGTGATTCGCCCGTAACAAGCGCGCGATTCCTTGCGTTGGTGCAAAAAATCTCCAACGGAATTGTCAGTCAGTATAGTTAAAGCGGATGACTGACCTTGGTATTACACAATAATCATCGGAATCACACATTCTTAAGAAATACTAAGCCTTTGACGCAATTTATACCAGCAAATGAAGTGCGAGTTCACGCAGTTATGCGTCCTAGTTTGTAGATTAGAAAAGGCCTTCTGCACGAAACGTTCAAATGACACTAAATCCGCCATACTGGATGGCAAAAGAATGTAAACAACCTTAAAACAAAAACAGGAGCCCGTCCAGCTTTACTTTTTCTTGCTTTGAACATATTTTGCTACCCTGGTCCCAGAGATTTGATATTTTCTCTCTTCGATATTTTTTTGTCGGCGCGAAGCGCCGTAATCGAGGCCGTAAGGCCGAGCGAAAACGTTTGATTTTCGCATGGCCTCGATAACGGCGTTTCGGGTAATATTTTGCCATCCAGCATGGCGGATTTACTACCACGTGACCGTATCATTAAAAAGGACTATTCTAATCTCCCATGGAGCAACCAATAGAACCGGAGCAATGAAGTCAGGCAATGTTGGTTTTTGCCACTCATCATTAGTTCAAAGGCTACCGTGACCTGCTTTAAAATGAATAAGAAAGAACATGAATCTGTTTTTTTACCGCTATCTCAAGGTGATCGCAAGGCGAAGCCATCAAGGTATATGTGCACAATATTTAACAATTATTCGCCGAAGGCGAAGTGATTATCAATGAATATTTACCGAGCGGCGATTCCCCGAGCCGCGAGGTAATTAGAGACCTTTAGATTTGAGAACGAAGACGAGGACGAGGGCGAAGTTGGTGAGCGCGCACAACTTTGATGTCGTCAGCTCGCTCGCGCATATTCAAAAGAAATTCCTAATTCACTCTGGAAAACTAATTTGACATGGTTTAATTTATGCCACTTTTAGCACAAACTAAGGATATTTTCGCATACTTAAATTGCTCAAAGTAAAACAAGGGATGTCCAAAGTCGATGTTCGTGTATTTTCTTCAGATTTCCATCGCAAAATAAGTCCAAGAAGAGCTGATAAAAACTTCGTTTTGAACAGAACGAAGTTTGGTAAAAACTTCGTCGTCCTCAGCAAGGAGACAACGAAGTTGCGTGACATTTCATGAGCTGTCGTAATATGTATAAGGGCGAATTTTCGAAACTTCGTCTTCGTTCTCAAATCTAAAGGTCGCTATAATATTCATTGATAATCACTGAGCCCAAGGTGAATGATTGTTTTAGTATAATTTCATAAGTGAATATTCATAAAAATAGAGAAAAAAGTAACTACTGCTCAGAAAAAGAATGTATATATATCATTCCCTGATGATGCTGTAGTACAGAGAAAGCTCGGATTCACGATATACATTTTCAACATCATAGCAGCCTTGGCTACATTTGTATACATTCTTTTTCTGATCACAATCATGCTGCTAAAGGATACTTTCACTCGTCTAGTCACTACTGCATTTTCGTAAAATGTTATGTGGCGGGGATTGGAGATGGCGGTCGATGGCCGCTCGGATTGACAGCAAAGTCGTCTTCTTGAATTGTATATTGATAGTTGCTTTCAGCTCGTGCTTCTTGACATTTTCTCGTGTGTTTCAAATACTAAGCGTTCGTTTATCAGAGTATAAACCACGGCTGAGCCTTATTTATTTGTTAAATATACTTAACAAAATTGCACTAGGTTTTGAGTAGAATGTCGTCTTGGCACACTCTTGACGTTATAAAATAAAAGGGGATTCACTGCAAACTTTTGAACATTCTATGACGTCAAGTGTGCAGAGTCAATAAGAGGACATAAACTGAATCAAGCCGCCAATGGCAACACAACTCGAAGATTGATTGTGAAGACGAATACAGAAAGATATAATTAACGACTAATCAAATTATAATTACTTAACGAATAGAATTTTAAGTAAACGATTTATGAATATAGTTTTATAATTAAACTTCGGTTCTGGATAAACATCGGCGAGCGCCGGCGAGATGAATACCACTCGAGCTACAACTATGTCGACCAGAAGCGCTACATCTGGATTCAAAAAACAAATAAAATCACCGTCAAATTAAAGGCGCTCAACGAGCGCATGTGGTTACTCCCAACATTATTTGTCATTGAAATGTATTCAAAAGGAAAGTTCTTTTCATTGATATGGTTGAAAGTTTTTGAGAGTTCTTTGAAGTAGGGTTGAAAGCAACTGCTAAGAAAATGACCCACATTTGAATAGTAATTTGAAAATTATAAACAGACAATTTTCGACGTCCATTATT